CTAAGTGTGGTTAACATGGCGTGATGCCAGTTCCCAAATGCTGTCAATATTGGTGTTGGAAAGCAAACCCACATTCTAACCACAGACAAATTGGTGTAGAAATTCATAACTCACACATTAAGAAATGTGAAATACTTATCATCACCTTTAGCGTAACATCACAAAGTTCCCCAGCTTCATAGAAGTGAAGGAGAGAGCTGTGAAAATCCTTCCAAGCTTCATTTGCTTCAAATACAAATGTGTCTTCTTCCCCATCACTGTTCAAAGATGACCTTTCATGTTGCTGTTGCCTCTTCCCTTTAATCACACGATGCTTTGCTTGTTCTGGGACCATAGAGTCAGAAGCCATTAGCTGTTAGCTTCTTCTGAACCTGTTGTTAGTCTCCATAAGAAGCCAAAGCAGATATTGTGCCAGACAAATCAGGCTAAACATCCAGTCTGATGTTGAACCATCCTCTTCTGGTGCACTGTAGGGAAAAGAAAAATGTTTCTTCAGTAGAACCCTTGATTTGAAGTACTGGGTAATTCAAAAAGAATAGTACAAAAGCAAAGCTATTCTTACTGGGGTTTTGCATCATCCTGTTCTTTGCTACTTTTTATCTTGCCTCTTTGAAGAGACCAATGTACAAACTCCAATAAATGGGAACTGATGAACAATCCAGTTCCTTAAAGTATGACAAACAGCATTACAGTGTTTTACAATATGCTGAATCAGCATGCTGGGAAAAAAATAGTGCAAAGGGTTTGTATACTGCTACAATAAATAGCTTTTATGGCAGTTCACTCAACAATTTTGGATTCAACTACAGTGGGTCCTTGGTATCTGCTGGGGTTTGGTTCTAGGACTCCCCATGGATACCCAAATCCATGGATGCTCAAGTCCCATTAAATACAATGGCACAGTAAAATGGCATCCTTTATATAAAATGGCAGTATCAATGTTTGCTTTTTGGAATTTATATTCTTTTTTAATATTTTCAAGCCATGGAGGGTTGAATCCATGGATAAAGAATCAATGGATACACAGGGCCAACTAACTGTAAATGACTCCCAGTATTTCTATCACAGTTTGCTTAAATACATAGAAAGTGCAGATGCTTGGAGAAATAGAGAACTCTTCCTTCCAATGACTTCAGCCTCTATGCCTTGGCAGGTAACAGACATTGTGAATGTCTGTCTGCTCTTGTTACACCTACTGCAACAGGAAGGAAGAGGCATTAAAAGAGGCATCCCTCTTTGTATGAATACTGTCTTTCTTATAGTTTTTTTGTGGGTTTTTCGGGCTGTGTGGCCATGTTCTAGAAAAGTTTCTTTCTGACATTTGAACATGGCCACACAGCCCGAAAAACCCACAAAAAACTATGGATGCCAGCCATGAAAGCCTACAACTTCACATATCTTTCTGTTTGTCTAGGTAACCCTTGGTTCTAAGCCAAGGTGTTCTAAACTAAACTTTCAAACATCTTAAGATTCTTGTTAGCATTTACACACAGTCAAGAGTTAAGTTGCAGGGCATCCCTTTCCAATAATGAATACAGCATTTTTGCATCAGTACACAGATACAACTCAATCAGTTCAGAATATCAGGCAGCTACAAAAATGTGAACCATCTTTCTCACCTCTAAGAGAGACAAGATAATGTTCTATTCTCTGTAACATCTCATGATTTGGTAGCTTCAGTACTGTTTTATTAATAACTCTGAAAGTTAGATTGTTACAATTATTCCCATTTGTGGTTAGAGATGTAGGTTGACTATTTTTTCACAGGTGACATGAAACAAGAAAGTAAGATCTCTGTGAACCAGATAAAAACTGTTCAGTCACTCAGACCTCCTTAGCTCTAATGTTCAATCAGGCTGAAGTTTACATTAGCAGCATCAGTTTTCAAGTTATGTATCATGGACTTTTTTAAAAAAAAGGTTGGGGGAAGCAGAATCTACAGTGAGAAAACATGTAACAGCAGCCAAGTACCCATCCACCATCATCTGGAGGGAGAGAAGGCAGGCCATCTCCATCAGGCCTAGCCTGAAGAAGAAGAAGGACCCTCCCTCCAGTCCATCTGCTTTGGTCCAGGCTTTAGAGGGAGAGAAGATCTGATGGACTTATCCCCTTCCTCACCACCATCCCCTTCTCCTTTTGTGTCTTGTCTTTTTAGATTGTAAGCTTGAGAGCAGGGAACTGTCCTTAATCCATTTGTAAGCCGTTCTGATAGCTTTTGCTGAAGAGTGGGGTATAAATACTTCACAATAATAATAATAATAATAATGGTCTGTTATTGATCTTCCTGTGAAAGGTATAGATGCAGGGACATGTTATAGTAGGATACATGATTAATTTCTTCATAGAAAGGTTAAGTGACATGGCTAGATCCTCATGCAAACCATGTACCCTACAAGGACCAAGTTCTCTACAGTATGAGGGACCCACAACAGCAATTCCTTAGTGAGTGAATAGATGGGTAAGGGATTCCTGCAAGTGGGAGGTTTGAACACCACCACACTAACTATAACATGAATGAAATGCAAAGACAACTGGAGACAAACACTACTCTTGAAAAGTCCATATGGAGGAGATGCCACTATTGTTTAGGATGAAAAGAACAAAGATTCTTGTTGTATAGACCATGTTCTCCCCACAACCTTTGGAACTAACCTGCTTAGAAACCTCCTATTCCAAACACTTCATTCTACCATTTCTGTTATTATTCACCAAGTTCTGGTTGCTCTTAATTCCAAACTCTTCTATAATACTGAACAGAAGCACTCCATGAGACTCCAAATAGGTCGTAGCTATCATGTAGCTGTGTGTGTAATTAACATTTATATAAATCTTGTGCAGAAGGTATGCAGAAATGAATTTTCTGCCCCACAAAAATCTTTAAGCGACCCCAAATATATTCAAACCTCCAGGGAACTGTTGTAAAAATGGCATACCACTGCATACCTAAGCAAAAAGTATAACAACTAAAATTCATTTATTTTAAAGCAGAGTACCAAGGGGAAAGAGATGCCTATCAGGAAAAGTTGAAGGATTACCAGTATATGTCCATTACAAGTTCGATGTTTTTAAACCAAAGTGCACAATTGTATCAAAAATCTTGGCTTAACCACTCTACTGTACTAAATCATCTGTAGTAAGGAAACAGAGTAAGATCTCTTAAGGACTGAAGATCACAATGCCAGCTGTGCTGACTTGTGCTTATAAAGAATAAACTTATCTCCCTCAGCTTCTGTAAAGAGTCAACATTTACTCTTTTCACACTTCACATCAAGATTCACTTAATATGAAAATTGTCTTTACTCTCCACTTCTCAATTCTCTCTCTTCTTCACTTCTCAGTTACTACTACTTCTTGGCTATAATTAAAAAGTAAGCAATTATTGAATAAACCATCATTCACATTCCCAGGGTAATGCAATTTTTACTCAAGCTTCCACTATAATATCAGCATTTTGGACACTTCAATAACAATAAATATCATCATCAGTAGTAGGAGTTGTAAGAAGTTATGTCCATGATTCTCTCCTTCCATGTCACAAGTATGATAAGACATACAGGAAAATTAAAATTGATTCTCAAATGATCCAAAAATAGAGTCAATGTACGTTAAAGAAATATTTGCAAAATGGTTGATATGAAGCATTAGACCAGGGGTTGGCAACCTTTTTTGCCGACAGGCTGGGGGGGAGGTGCTGGGGGTCGGCGGCACACACACGCTGCCATTTTGAAAAGCAAAATGGCGGATGCCGCCCCCCGTGCATCGTGCGCACATGCACACAGCGGCAGGGCTCCCAAGGAGGCTTCCCTCGGCAGCAACAGGCCTCCGAAAAGCCCAGTGCCACTGCGGGGGGCCCCCAGGAGGCTTCTCTCGGCGGCACTGGGCCTCCAAGAGGCCCGGTGCCGCTGCGGGCCTCCTCCGGGGTGTCATTTTGGTCACGCTGCCGCTGCGCGTGCCGCAGCCGCCATGTTGTTTGCCAAAATGGCAGTCGCAGCTCATTAGCGCATGCGCAAAAATTATTTTTGCTTTCAGATAGACTTTTCTACTAGTTACCCATAGTGAGTTAATATTATATTTTAAAAAAATTAAATTAAACCCTGCTAACAAGGCATTTAGTCCATCTATCATGAACATAAAATAAACAGATTTAGTTTTCCATCTAGCAAACAGAGCAAGCCACACAAGATGCCTACCTAGCTTGTGAATCTCTCTTTATCCTCTCATCTACCAACATTTTGACAAATGACACCAGACCTGTAAGTCATTACTGTCATATAAAGGCACCATGACACCAGACCTGTAAGTCATTACTGTCACATAAAGAAATTCAGTTAACAAGCAAGCAGACATATCATCTCAAATGCAGTTTTTTAAAAGCACACTATTCTATATGATCTGGATACTTTCAACAGTCAGCCAAACACTACTCCCACCAATTTGGAATTGGAAAGTTGCCCATTCTCGTCTAATCTGATCTTTGTGCATTACAAATAATGATCTTTAACCTCTTGAAACTTCTCCAAGATGCTGAAGTAAAATGTTCAAGCCATAGTTCAACAATACAGCACTGTTCAATTAAATTTCCTGAACTGAATACAGGCCATTTTCTTTGTCTGCTAAAATGGTATTCTTTTCATTACTAAGCAAGGAAACAATTACCAAATTCAAAGGTTTTACCTTTCCTTGCCATATCAACTGCCTAGTCTTGAAATCTCTTGGTTTAAACACGCTGAATAAAATCACTACAGATAAACCTAATGACACAGTGATTAGATAAAATATTTCAGCATTTATACTGTGCCCCAGTTCATGACTATTTTGAGAAAGTTCATATGGATTGGGGGGGGGGGGAGAAACAAATCCCCTATTTTATGAAACTGTGTCAGAAAAAACTTTGAAGGCACAGAACAAGTTGAAAGAAACCCTGAGTAACTTGACGGGTATAGTACTTGATAAATATTTTAAAGAAGATTATCATGAGGATATTTCAGAGACTGTATAAGGGCAGTGTAGTGTAATGGTTTGAGCACTGGACTACAACTGGCAGCAAGGGTTCGAATCCCTGCTCAGCCATGGAAACCCACTGGATGACTTTGGGCAAATCATATATTCTGAGTTTCAGAAGAAGGCAAAGGCAAACCTCTTCTGAACAAATCTGGCCAAGAATACCTCATGATAGGTTCACCATAAGTCAGGAACAACTTGAAGGCACACAACAACAAAATACTTGCTCATATGGAACCATCAGTATATATAGAGCATCACTGAATCTCTCAGTAAACTAAACAGGTCCATGCCCCAAGAAGCTCACAATCCAGCATTTCAAGAGAGCAAGAGACAAATGCTGTTGAGACAACTGAAGCCTGTGTAGGGAAAGGAGGTGAGAAGAAACACAGAACCTATGCAGATTGATTGCATTTCTCTAGATTCTTCCATAGAGTTGGAAATCTTCATTAGTCCACAAGTCCCAACTGCATGTACACAGCTCTATGTAGGTATGCAGAGAACAGAAATCAGTGCTGAACTCCTGCTCTTTTCACACCATAAACTGTACTTGCTATATGCAGTATAAACAGCTTTAAAGAAGGGAAAGAAATACATAGGGTTTATAATGAATATGAACAAGTCATACACAATCATACTTTGATGCAGTCCCTATATCCATTATTTATTGCATAAATAGCCAACCCCCAGCATGTACAAAAAACAGAGGAGAGGAATAGAGCATTGCAGAACAACAGCACAGTCCAAATGTCTCACAGCACAGAATTAGATTTACAAATCCTCCTGCTTCTCCAGCTCCATACTGTTGTTTGGTATGCAGCTCATTAGACCAGATATTTATACCAAGGCAACAAGATACCATGTGTGTGCACATGTGTCACACTCGAGTGGCATTTTCTCACATACAGAACAGCTGCCAAAGAAGTTAACATTACATTATTTAATATATTTCTACCCTAGTGATTTGGGCAAACCCTCACATGTAACTTACAAGGGACTAAATTCCACATATGTGGAGCTATAGTTCAGGTATGTATCAGCTTTGCTTCCAAGACCTCAAAGCCCAGACAAGCTCCCTGACATGTAAATCATTTATTAAATATATTTTAAAAATATTTAGTTTAATTTTTAAGCACAATATCAGCTAAAATAGCAGTATTCCTTTCATCTATTATCCCTTCATCAATTAATTCTACAAGTAAGAGAAAAGAATGATGTAAAATTAGTTCTTGTCCAGACCTCCCACTATCATACAAATTATAACATTAGAGTCCACAAGACAATCAAAACTATCCAAATTAGTGAGTGTAAACTATTTTTCAAACACCTTGGCTCCTTAAAAGTCCAAAACAGCATTTTAAAGTAACAAATTGGGACCTAAGGTAACTGTCACAAAATTGATGGAAATATTACATGTGGCATATGCTCAGCAATCCAGTATAGAAGTGGATTTTTAAAAATAAAAATCAGAGGTTTTGCTTAAAAAGCCACACTGCCCTTGCATGGGATATACAGGGTGAATACTCTGAAATCCAAAATTGTCCACATGAGTGGATGAGATACTGATACCTCTACTTTCTAATGGTTCAGTGTACACAAACTTTGTTTCATGCACAAAATTATTGAAAACATTATGTACAAAATTACCTTCAAGATATCTGTATGAAGTATACACGAAACATAAAAATGAATTTTCTCCTATCTCCAAGTTATCTCATTATGTATATGGAAATATTCCAAAATCCAAACAATTCCAAAATCCAAAACACTTCTGGTCCCAAGCATTTCAGATAAGGAAGACTCAACACGTAACAATATTTTATGACTACAGCTTAGTCAGAACAAGGAGTGTTGAAACTAATGGCAGTGATATTCATTCATTCAATTTCTATGCCTTCTTACACCCAGAAAGGCACCTCCAACAAGCTGGGTACTCATTTTACCAATCTACAAAAGGATGGAAGGCTGAGTCAATCTGGAACTTTCTGGGATTGAACTCACAACGTTGTGTACTGTACTGGCATTTAACCACTGCACCACCAGGCAGACTTTGCGCAGACAAAGTCCCTATTCCCTGATCTGACCAGGAGCACTTCTGTCTTGTCTGGATTAAGTTTCAATTTATTTACTCTCATCCAGTCCATCATTGACAGCTGACATTGGTTCAGTACAGAGACAGCTTCCTTGGAATCTGATGGGAAAGAGAGACAGAGTTGGGTGGCATCTGCATACTAGTGATACTGCACCCCAAAATTGAGGATGACCTCTCCCAGCGGTTTCATGTAGCTGTTAAATAACATGGGGAGATCTGAACCCTGAGGGACTCCACAGGCCAACAGAGAGGGAGTCAAACAGGAGAACCCCAACACCACCTTCTGAGTTTGCCTCTCCAAGAAAAGAATAGAGGCACTGTCATACAAGTCAGAGAGATGGCCCAGAGAATACCATTGTCGATGATATTGAAAGCCACCAAGAGGTCTAGCAGGACCAACAGGGACACATCCCCCCGTCCGGTTCCCTGCGGAGGTCATCCACCAAAGTGACCAAAGCTGTCTCGTATTGGAAACCTTTGCTGAGCTACGAGAACACATGGTTTAAGCACCAATGTCCTTTGTATGTAATTTATCAGAACAGCATTTTTAAAATTCCTCTGCACAGTGTGCAGAGAGTGAACACAAAGCAACAAATCAAGACAGTAGAAACAAAAACATCAAGAACAGGAACTAAGGCTTCATCCACACTGCAGAAATAATCTAGTTTGAGATTGCTTTAAGTGCTGTGGCTCAGTGTTATGGAATTCTGGGATTTGTAGTTTGTTGTGGCATCAAAGCTCTCTGATAGAGAAGGCTCAATATCCCACAAAACTATAATTCCCAGAATTCCATAGCATTGAGCCACAGTACTTAAAGCAGTGTCAAACTGGATCATTTCTGTAGTGTGGATGGAGTCTTACATTACATCAGCTCTCTCATTTATACCCAAGATGTAAAAAACATATCTATGGTCTGTCAGAGAGCTCTGGTGCCACAATAAACTACAGTTCCCAGGATTCCTAGCACTGAGCCAGGGCAGTTAAAGTGGTCTCAAACTGGATTATTAGTGCAGTGTGTTTTGGACCTATGAAAGCTTTTCATCATGTGTTTAGTGTCAAAAAACGGTAAATATTTTACATGACACTTCACTGCAGCTAGGAAATAGGAAGGAAGTAACTGAACTGCACTGCAAACAGCTTTGGACAGTTCCACAAACATCCGTAGAAAATCAAACAAACGTATTAAAGTACACGTAAAGAACACTCATTTCCTCCTCCTCCTCAACAAAATATTCAAAGTTAATCCCTCTCTCTCATAAATACTCTTTCCCCTTGGTTTTTATACATTCCCTCCATTTCTGCCTCATTCCATAAAATGTACACTCAGACAGACTTCACACAACATTTAGAGCTTATATCCTGATTTGGTTTTCTTTCTTTCTCAGACCCACAGCTTCTGGTTTGGCCTCTTTCATTCTCAACAAGTTCCCACTTTTTACGATTTCCATGAATAAAGGAAAAACAGATTCCCAGCTTTCTCTTGAGCAAGTCACACTCTCTCAACCTCAAGAGGATGGCAATGGCAAATGCAATTTGAAGAAACTTGCCAAGAAAACCTTATGTTAGCATATGACTCTCTATGACAGAAGGGATGGTTATTAATGTAGATGTATGTTTTATCTGTTTTTAACTTATGTATGTTTCTTTTTAAAAAAAAATAATCAGTTTTATAATGGTATTTTAATGTGCTTTTTAAAAGTTGGTCTTAATTTTTTTGTAAATGTGTTTAATGTGTTATGGAAGCTGTCCTGGGAGAAAGGCAGCATATAAATAAAGTAAATAAATAAAGACAGTCAGCATGGTGTAATGGTTTGAGCCTTGGACTCCAACTCTGAAGACCAGGGCTCGAATCTCAACTCAGCCATTGAAACCCACTGGGTGGCCCTGGACATGTCACACTCTCTCAGCCTCAGAGCTTGGCAATGGCAAACCCAATTTGAAGAGACTTGCCAAGAAAACCTTATGGCAGCATATGAAATTCTATGGTATGATAGCAGTGAAGGTTTTCGATATAGAGGCATGTTTTATCTGGTTTTAACTTTTGTATGTTTTTTATAGTGTTTTAATGTTTTGTTTTGTTTTGTTTTTTAAAAAAACGGTTTCTTGAACTTCTGTAAACATTTTTAATGTGTTATGGAAGCTGCCTTGGGTGCTGGCCTGGGAGAAATGTAAATAAATAATAGGGAGGGAGAAAGATGGCATATAAAATAAATAAATAAATAAATAAATAAGGAGAGAGAGAGAGAGAGAGAGAGAGAGGGGCATATAAATTAAATTAAATAAAATAAATAGGGAGAAAATAAGTAACTAAAATAAATAAATAGGAAGTGAGAAAAGTGGCATATAAGTAAAGTAAATAAATAATAAATAGGGAGAAAATAAATAAATAGGGAGAAAGGCAGCATATAAAGTAAAATAAATAAATAAAGAGAAAGTAAATAAATAAATAGGGAGAAAGGCAACATATAAAGTAAATAAATAAATAGAAAGTAAATAAATAAATAGGGAGGGAGGGAGGGAGGGAGGGAGGTGGCATATAAATAAAATAAAATAAATGAATAGAGGAAATGTAAATAAAATAAAATAAAATAAAATAAATAAATAGGAAGAAAGGCATCATATATATAAAGTAAACAACTGAAATAGATATGGAGAAAGTAAATAAACATAAATAAAGTAAAAGGGAGAAAGCCAATAGGGAGAAAGGCAGCACATAAATAAATAAAGTAAACAAATAGGCAGAAAGCAAATAAAATAAATAAATAAATAAATAGGGAAAAGGCAGCATATAAATAAACAAATAAATAGGCAGAAAGCAAATAAATAAAATAAATAAATAGGGAAAAAGGCAGCAGAGATAGTAAGTAAATAAATATTTATAATAAATATATAATTAAATTATTATAATAAATATTTATTATAAACAAATAAAATAAATTAACTCGCCACGAGTAAGACTTGGACCTACACAATAACA